TCACTGGACACCCCTTCTCTGCAACTGATAGGTTACTTGCACTACTGGACCTCCACAGCACCTTGTGAGAAAGGCCAGGCAGCAGGTTACAGAAAGCACCCTGGGCTCAGCCCGAGGATGGGAGGCTCGTTTCTTCCTCTGTGTCACTACAACTCACTGAGTCTTTCAGTTTCTTCATCTTTAAAATAAGAACCATTCTCATTTCAGGGATGCAGTCATGGTGAGGATAAAGTTAAACAATAAATGTGAACCGAGCTTTTAAAAACAGTAAATGCCACCGGATGTCAGGTGAGATTATTCCAAATAGCATTTGTGCTTCTACAGAGACGCTTGCCAGGGTCCATCTGCCATCATAGTTATTTGATCAGTTTTCCCGGTGGGATGCTCTACTCACCCCCGCAAGGTGAGAGTCACTTCAGGGGGACTTTGTCTTTTCTCTGTTGTCCTCCAGCCCCCTCCATAACAGCTTCTGCGCAGCAGCTGCAGCAGCTGTTTGATCGGTGCTTGTTGAATTGAACCCCTTATGATAAACAACTATTGTCCTGGTCACACTTCCTTTTTCCCACCACTGTGGTAGTAACAGAAATTCGAATTGACTGTACACTAAAACAAACAAACAAACAAAAAAGCAAAGAGAATAAAAAGCACAATGTGTGTTGACAAAAGAACTGACGTTTTTATGGTACCCTTTTAACTAGTTCACTTTTGTAAGAAATGTGAGGAAGACAGATTCAGATTAAAAAATGTCACACATTAAGAAGAGTTGAAGAATCCAGTTTTAGGAAACCAGTTTAATGCCACTGAGGGGTAAATAAGAGAAAAACAGCCGGTCTATAAATTGCTGATGGAAGTCCACACTGGAGGGGTTTTTGTCCCTTCTAGGATTTCCTGGAGCCCTGTAGACTGTTACTCACCGTTCACATATGCTTATATAAAAATATACCATCTATAAATAGCCACCTGCCTTTTCAGTGAAATTAAAGATGGAAGAGAGGAGGTTTTCCCATTTTAATGACAGGGCTCAAACCCACAGCTGTTAATACTACTATAGTTCTACTCAGAGAATTCCTAAAAGCACTATTTTATTTCAAGCACATTCAAACAATTCAATTTTTTTCTTTAATGGCAACATGTTGTCATCAGGACTTTTTTTTTTCTTGCCAAGATTTCTCATATCCCTACTTAAAAAGATTAGGTGTTGTGCGGGGTTGTTGTGTAGATGGGTTTTGTTTTATCAAGTGCAGACAATTTTCACAAGTGCTTCTGTTCTTTATCTGGGGATTAACACCAAACTCCTGTCAATGTTTTTCTTAAACTCTACACATGCCCTTTCACAAATATCCTTCCTCACATATTTTCTAAGATGTGCCTCCTTAAGAAAAATCCCCAAGCTTCTAAAATTCCTTGGTAAGTATTCTAAGATTCCTAAGAGTGTGTGGCACAATGTGAAGGAATTAAACTCAACACTTTTATCTCTGCTTACAAAAAAGCAGGTAGCAATGTATTCATATGCAGTCTTTGTTCCCTCACTAAAGACCAACACTCTTCAATCTTTGAGAGCCTGAAAGACAAGGCACCGCTGATGGGAGGAAGGGGGACACTTCAGAGGAGCGCAGTGCTCTCCGTGGAAAGGTCTAAGAGCCTTCTGCAGTTAATTTGCAAGAAAAAAAACCCCACTGGGAGCTGTCCACCTACTCTAAAAGCAAACATTCTTAACAGGCGGTATTAGTATGGTGTTAAGAGAGGCATGCTTTCACCTAAAAGGTGTCCTTTTATGAGCAAAAAAGCTGGATAAACCTTCAGATCGCTATTTTCCTCCCTCCTGGATGCCAAAATCTTCACAGGGAAGATGACCTCCCACCCACTGTGATGTTCAAAACCCAGGAGGGCCTGCAAGAAAAGCTGCCTGGCCCGGGTGTATACATGCCACTTCCTGCTCCTGGTGAGAACTGTCTGTCACTGGATTTCATTCCATGCGTTTGTAAACCACACCAACCGTGTATGGGAGCCTGTTAATTAAAACAAAAACAGAACTGTTTCTGTTGTGCTTTAGAATGACAGAAATTTCCAGCCCAAGTGGGGCAGTTTCCACCCAGTCTACTGCTGGGTCCCCACAGCTGCCGAGGAAGCCACTGTATCATAAAAAGCCAGGAAACCAGCACCTGGATTCAAGGAGACAGGCAGGAGGAGAAAATTCTAGTAAGGCCACGGAACTGGAAGTATGAGAATGTTTTTCCCATTTCCTGAGGGACTGCGTAATATCAAAGTTTATGGACAGCGAAGACTTCCCTGGCCAATGTGGTTCCAAAGTCAGCCTCTTCAACAGGAGGAAAGAATAGCTTCAGTGCCTCTGAGATCAGCCCAGGGTCAGGCCTGAGTCTATTCCTGCAAAGCCGCTGAGTCATTGCCACCTCTGGGCGCTGCCCGACCCAGCTTCAGTCTACCTAGAAGGTGGAGGCTCCACTCGCCCTCCTCTCTAATCTGGAAGCAACTGCTGACTTTCCCTTCCTCTGGAGGAACCCAAGCATTTCAGCAGGACCAATTTAGATCAGTTACATTAGAATACAAAAACACCCATTAAACAACAACAAAAAGACACCAAAAACCTCACTGAATTCTTCCCATGTGAAATACCACCCCCAAAAGCAGCAAGTACCAAAAATATCTTCCAGTGTCTCTTTCAAATATGAACCTCATCTCCTCCGGGCAGTGAAAACACGGATGAGACAGCACTTCTCTAAAAGAGATGCCTATTTTGCACCTTCAATAGGTCTTCCAAAGCAGGATGTGAAAAGGCTCAGGGGTGTGTGTGGTGGGGTGGCCTGGAGGGAGGCAGGAAGCAGCGACAACAGAAAAAAAATTAAAGGACACTTGAGGCATTCATGATCCCCAGTATCTTAAAAGGCAGGGTGGGGGGGAAGATCTTGGTAGTATTTACCATCCTCCTCGAGGGGGGATGCCCCACGGTCTCTTGATCCCTGTTTTCCTTCTTTCTGTCCTTTGGTTTAATATGACGTGAAGAGTACATTCAGTAAACATTCACTTGGTATTTTTTAAAAAATTTATTTGTGATCTGTACATGTGATAAAGTGGGGCTTCATCGGAGAAAGGCAAAACAAAACAAAAATCCAAAGTAAAAATGTATAAATACAATATATATTTTCTTACAAAAATGAAAGATTTACAAAATATACATACTGTACTTGTCGCTATTTTACAAATTTCACATGCACTGAAGAGATACAACACAAAAAATGCCAAAAACCTGTGGAGTGGGAGTTTCATAAATCGGACAGAGGAGACAGTTTCTGAAGGTTTAAGAAACACAAGATCCATTTGAAGTCGAGTGTAGAAAGCAGCTCCACTCAAAAGTGAACACTACCCATACAAAGTAACATTACTCTTTGGAGTACCCTCTATGACTGGCATTTAAAAACGGTTACTGAAGAGCGATGTGAGATGGGAGGGTGTTGTCAAAGGTAGGGGTAAGGTTAGCTCCCATGATTCTCTGCTCAGCTCTGCACCATTATGCCAAAGAACCAGAGTTCTGTTACATAAAAAAAGTACATGATTTAAGATTAATAAATTTAAGTCTTCCAGCACATTTCAAAGACCTCTAGAATCACTTTGAAGTTTACCTTCTTTTAATGACTTTCTTTAAAGATGGGGCCCGTGTTTCCAACTTTCCTCTTCGTTCACTCTCATATCTGCAGATCACCTCCCCACCCAACCACGCAGAGGCAGGGTCAGCACACGCATGTTGTTTTAGAAGCAGATTTATGGGACCAAGAAAATGGGACAAAATGGCTCTTTACTTAAAAAAAATTTTTTTTCAACTCTCCTCTATTATGAGGCTGAAGGCATATGCTTTTTCTTTTATCTTGAAGAATTCAAATTGGGGAGAAAAAAAAGAAAACCTAAATATAGGCTTATAGCACACAAAAAAGGAATGATTTCCCTGAACATTTTAACAGAGCCTGTTGGATCATGTGTTCTGAATTAAATTCACTTAAAACAAACAACAAAACCCCTTACATTTCCTTTAGTCAAGTCAGAACCTCTGACTGAACCGCGTATGAAATCACACTGGCCTTCACTTTTCCTTAAAAAGGAATGTTTATCTCCACCAAATTAACAACCAAAGGGAAACCTCAGATTTGTGCTGCTTGGCCTCTGAAAGTTACTGTCTTCACAGTTCCGCCTTTCCACAGGGAGACACTTTTGTTTCCTCTTTTGTCTCTTACAACAAAGACAAGGGGGAAAATGCATTCCTGTTCTGAAAAGCAACAAGTCATCATTTCTTTTCAGGGTATTAGACCAAATAAAACACCCTTCTTTCTGCCTCCTGCCATCCCCAGAAGATGAAAAAGAGGCAGAAATGCCTCCTCCTCGGCTCCTTGGCCTGCTCTGGCAAGGTTACCGCGGTTTCTTCTGCATCTGCACGTTAGAATTCCAGCAGGCAGGCCCGGCAAGACTGCCACACGCTTGTTTTAAGAGTCTTGAAAGGAGGGGAGGCAAGCCAGGCGGGAGGGGGCAGGGGAGGCGAGACTGTAGTATCTGACCCTGGAAATTAACCCATCTGGGCTCCAGTTTGGCCCCAGTGAAAAGAGATTATGGTTCGACCACCGCGTGACAAGGACACCACAGGAGGTCCTCCCCCTTCCCAACAAAGAGTTCTCGGCAGACAGAGCCGTACCTTTTCCTGGGCCTCACAGGAGTGAGGACAGGCCGCTGGCCTTGCAGCAGGGGGGTCGCTAACGGCTCCAGGACAGCCCGGGAGCCGGAAGGACGCACGCCAGTCTCTGCTGTCTCCAGCTCCTCCTAGGCCCAAGCCGGCCCGTATCCCTCACGACCAACACGGTCGTTCTACCGTCATCGTCACCGTCACCACCCTGCAAGTCTTTGCTGGAAGTCTTCCCGTCCAAACCGCCTCCACCCAGGCCTCCTTTCCTAACCACCCCTCGCCCAGACTCTGCAGATAACTTCCCACTTCCGGCGAGAAGACCACGGACACCAGCCCCCACCCCGCAGGTCTTACCCAGCGCGCCTCTCTGCCGGCAAGGGGGCAGGGGCAGGGGCCGGGGCCGGGGCCGGGGCCGGGGCCGGGGCCGGCCGGGGCTCATACCGCCGTCTCCCCCTTGCTGCTATGGCTGAGTTTGTGGTAGAAGCGGCGCCACGACTGCAGGGTCTTGCCCGACCAGATCCAGAAGCCGGTGGTGATGCCCACAATCATGGTCATCAGGTACTTGATCATGAAGACGGTGAAGTCAGGGCTCATGGGCGGGAAGTGGCCGGGCGGGCAGGGCACGGCGTAGCTCTTGCAGGTCTGCAGGAGCCAGGTGCGCTCCCAGTGCTCGCGAAAGGCCTGCTCGTAGAAGTAGCAGGCCAGCACGATGGTGGCGGGCACCGTGTAGAGCACGCTGAACACGCCGATGCGCACCATGAGCTTCTCCAGCTTTTCGGTCTTGGTGCCGTCGTGCTTCATGATGGTGCGGATGCGGAAGAGCGACACGAAGCCGGCCAGCAGGAAGGACGTGCCGATGAACAGGTACACGAAGAGCGGCGCCAGCACGAAGCCGCGCAGCGCGTCCACGCTCGACAGGCCCACGTAGCACACCCCGCTGAGCAGGTCGCCATCCACCTGGCCCATGGCCAGGATGGTGATGGTCTTGACGGCGGGCACGGCCCACGCGGCCAGGTGGAAGTACTGCGAGTTGGCCTCGATGGCCTCGTGGCCCCACTTCATGCCGGCCGCCAGGAACCAGGTGAGCGACAGGATGACCCACCAGATGGAGCTGGCCATGCCGAAGAAGTAGAGCACCATGAAGAGGATGGTGCAGCCCTCCTTCTTGGTGCCCTGCGCCACCGTGCGGTAGCCGTCGTCCGAGAAGCGTTCCACGCACACGGCGCGGTCCTCCAGCAGAAAGCCGGCCACGTGCGCCACGGCCACCATGAAGTAGCAGCCAGACAGGAAGATGATGGGCCGCTCGGGGTAGCTGAAGCGCCGCATGTCCACCAAGTAGGTGAGCACGGTGAAGAGCGTCGAGGCGCAGCACAGCACGGACCACACGCCCACCCAGAGGCGGGCGAAGCGCCGCTCCTCCTCCTTGAAGTACATGAGGCCGTTGGCGCGGCCCGGCTCGCAGGGGGCGCCGCAGTCGCGCTCGCCCAGGAAGCGGTAGCCCAGGTAGGGCGGCACCTTGAGCTGGCGGGGACAGGAGAACGGGAAGGCGGCGCGGCCGCGGCCGTCCGCGGCGCCTCCGGGCAGCGCGGTGAGGGGCAGGTCCGGCAGATAGGGCGCGGTGGGGTGGGCGGTGGGGCCGCCGCCCGGGCCCCCGGAGCCGTCCGACGTGTTCTGGCCCACGCAGATCTCGCCCGCGCCGTGCACCGGGAAGTTCTCGCAGCGCAGCCGCTCGGGCCACTGGAAGCCGAACTTGTTCATGAGCGCCTCGCAGCCCTGGCGCGCGCGCTCGCACAGGGAGCGGCACGGCGGGATGGCCTGGTCCAGCACGGTGCACACGGGCGCGTACATGGAGCACAGAAAAAAGCGCAGCTCGGGTGAGCACTGCACCTTAACCAGCGGGTAGAACTGATGCACCTCGAGGCCCGCGTCCTCCTGGTTCGTGTGGCCCAGCAGGTTGGGCAGGATGGTCTGGTTGTAGGCGATGTCCGTGCACAGCGGGATGGAGATGGGCTGGCAGAAGCCGTGGTCCGGGACGGAGATGCCCTTCTCGCCGTGGAACTGCGCCGGCCCC